CATACGAGGAGGTCGCCACGTTCCAGTCAAACGTGGTGATGGGGTTGAATAAGCCAAGGCCCAGCGAGGATCCTGTGATGATTGCTAGGGTCACGTTCTGGGGCGAGATCCAGGTCATCCAGTTGAACGTCGCCAAAGCCGTGAAGATGTAGCCTGGGAACCAGTAGTAGAAGAACATGCAGATGGTCACGACGTAGAAGAACTTATACCGCGAGATTGTCCACCCGTTGATGTTCTCTCTCGGCTCCGGCCTGGTGAGCGCTCTGTTCATGGCGATTGTCGGCAGGATCGTCGGCCAGAGAGCCTTAACGGGGTACACACTGAACCGTCGTAGGTATCCGGCGAATCCCATACCCATGAGTTGCACAAAGAGGGTGAGCATCAGCTGGTACCCAAAGTTGACGAAGTCGAGACCGTAGTAGACTGGTGACTTCTGCACCAGGATCATGCCGTAACTATTGGTGGTGTAGATGGCAATGTTGTACGTGATGGTAGCAAACATTTGCTCCTTGAAATTCCACGGTCCTGGATTCAGAGAGTGCCGCGTACCTCGTACGGTGATGCCCCAGTCAGGTAAAACAAATTCGAGGACCTTGGCGCATGGGAAGAGCAGGATCTGGATAACCTGACCACTTAAGCCTACACAAACTCGGCTTTAGTAAAAGATTTCGAGGGAGACATATGAGATGTGATACTCACTGATGGCGGGGAACCTTGAGTTGAAGAATGTCGAGATAAAAGTTCCGATGATTGCCCAGCCTATACCCAGGAAGTATGCGCGAAACGTCTCAATGGGCACACTCTGGTCGTCCAAAATCTCGGCCACGGCGCGAACCCCAGGGTAGGGTGAGGAGAAGCGGATCATGACGGCGTCAATTCTCAAGTCCCGATCGTAGTGTTCACCGTACTGTTTTGGTCCCTCGAGCAGCTTCTTCATTCTTTCTCGCATATCGGAGGGGAAGTTCCAGTCGTCCTTGAAGAACTCGACTGATTCTTCAATGATTTCGAGGGCATCTTCCTCCGTCATCTCATTAATCTTCTCCAAGATGTACTCTCCTTCTCCATTGGGTGCCAGCTCCTCAAGCTTCTCGTGGGATATCTGGTCCGAGATCTTTTGCTCCGGGTTGTCCACCCGTGCGGGGATCTTCTCGATATCCTCCTCCCGGGCCGGGGTCGGCTCCTCTCCGACGGTCTCCACCTTTCCGGACATTGTTACCCGAGGAATCGACGCCGTGTGCTGCCGGGTCCGTTGGAAGACTTACTTGTCGAAAGACGAAGAAGACGCTTGGAAACAAGTAACCATCTCTCATGATTTTCTCCGGGGAAGTTACCGAGGCTATATACCTCTGCAATTATCGTCCAACTTAGAGTTGTGTGGCGGGCGGAAGGCGGGGGAGTCGGGTCTCGGCCCAGTTATTGGGCGAGAAGATAGGTTCGTCCACCATGGGGGAAACATATCTCCAAACGGAACGAGGTGCGCGCAGCTAGGTATCTCCTCGCCCCAACCGGGCTGCACTGCATTGTCCATCCAACAACGTTGCATTCTCCCAGATCAACGTTGCGCTATCACGCCGTCTAACAGAAGGGGGTCGATCGTCCCATTGCCAGACTTATCCGGTATCACCCCCGCATGCTCTCCCGGCTCGGAGCTCCCCTCTCTCCAAAATAACCCGACCTGCCAGACGTGGCCTGCGGGGTGCATGCGTTCGCGAGGATCAGCGCCCCTGTACTTGCGCTATCGACCGGTGTCTGAACCAACGGCAGTTGGTCATTCGCCGCGGTAGGATGCGACGCCAGGCGATAAAAAGAGCCAAGATAGAGAGGGGTTGGAGCGGCGGATAGTTGCGGGATTGACAGCGACCCTTGGGGTTTGAGAGCTTGCGGACAAGTTCCGATATCTTGCGTTTTGATGAAAGATGCGAGTCCCTTTGCTGATGAAATGGGAAGAGACGTCGTTCGTTAACGGGATAGTGCTGGTGCATCTCACCAATCGGCATCGATCAAAGTCGAATGTGCAAAATTCTATCCAATTTAGAAATTCTGACTGGCCTCATGGGGTAGTTCATCACATCTTTCCAGGGTAGCACAGGAACGGCATGTCACCTGATGAGATCCGATGGGTAAAGCACAATCAGACCGAGTGCGTGACAGAATGGCAAAAGTGTTTGTTTCGCAGACTTGGCTTGGCACTAGCATTCAATATCAACACTCATGCATGGAGCAGCTAACCCGCGTTTGGTGGACTTCCACATAACAGAAGTGTGCCACGATGCACGCCACAGGCGTCGTTCCCGATGCGTCTCCCATTTTGAGGTGACTGACCGCGATGCAGCCACAGCAGCTCACACCAAAGCACCGTGCCAGATCCCGTCAAGGATCTCAGATCTCAAGAAGCGCACCCTTGACCGACTTGCTCAACTGTGCTCTCCAGAGACGATGCTCGTTGAGTATGAAGAGCTCGCCCCCGCGTCCGAAGCAAAAGTTGGCGGCGCCACCGTCGACGAGAATACGACCGAGTAGGACACCGCCTGGGGACCAAACGTTCACGCCATCCCCGCATCCGCTGTAGACATTTCCGTTCGTATCGCACTTGATTCCGTCTGGTATACCGACGTCGGCGAATGCGAACAGTCTCTTGTTCAGCAACACGGGTTGTCCGTGGCGATGTTCTACGTCAAAAGCGTATCTGTGTTGTTAGTACACGAGCTGAGAGTGGCACCACTTTTGAAACAAATCTGAATCGAATAACTCACATTGTCGAAGCCCGATTGCCGTCTATCGTACCATCACCGTGAACAAGATCCGTGTCTGTTACGTAGACAGTTCTTTCGTCAGGCGAGAAACAAATTCCATTTGGCCTGCCGAAACCATCCGCCATAGCCCGGATAGAAGACGTCGCCGGATCAAAGCGGTAGACCTGGCTAGGCAGTGTCGCAGGAGGGCGATAACCTTGCTCATGGCCATATGGCGGATCAGTGAACCATATGCTTCCATCTTTGCTGACGACAACATCGTTCACAGAGTTGAAGGGCCGAGAATGGAAAGAAGTGATGACTGGCTCGGTCGCATACGGAGGTGTCCTTGACATCTTGAACAGACCGCTAGGTTGTGTCATCGAGCCTTGGGCACAGAAGAGAATGTCATCACCGTAGTTGACGCCGCCATTGCCCATCGCGATTTCCGGACATGAGATCTCTCCATGTTTTACAATTTTCCCACCGGTGGGCAACGATATTTTGGAAATCTGGACTTTTCTAGAGCCATCTGTATCGGTGAACTGGTTGCTGGTGATGAACAGTTCATCGTTTGAGGGTATGAAGACGCCGGCTTCGTGAGCGAAGGGATAAGAGTCGATTTGCAACAAGAGATCCAGCGATGGGCTTGAACCAATAATTTCTCGAAATGATTCGTCATGAACTTGCCATGAATCGAGATTTTCTGTGTTGGATGACATTGTGAGCCGTGCGTTGTGATGGTAAGTTGTGCTCTATGCTGGAAAATGAATGAGCGGGCTTACTTCACCAAGCTGAGGTTTGCCTCTGAACCAAGACTCGTATGCGAGCCTGCTTATTGAATGATCTGATTACTGAAAAGTTCAAGCTGAGAAGCTTCGGACCCACAAGTCTACCAACTGAGTTCACCCCGCGAAACTAAGATCGCCCATTCCGCCTCCAGATCAGATCGTGCCGGGGGCCGGGGGTCCAAAATTTCCCTCGAGACGACGGTGACCCCACAGCAAGCCAGCAGCGCGCCTATGACAGACAATACCAAACACAATTACACATCATCACCGTGTTCATTAGCCCATAGATATGATTGAAATACGCAGCGACCTTTCAACGTCTGGCCCGGTCTGGATTGGAACTTTGGAATCGTTCCACAAGACAGACACATTAAGCGGAGTTCGAAGAACGCATCTATTGCAACTATGACTGTGCCGGCAAACTGGAAAGACGAGAACAGGACAATCCAGATCCTGACCAAAGCCGAAAAGGGCCGATACGGCGTGATTGCCGCCATCGCATATAACCTCGAGCAGATCCACGGCCTCGTCACCGCAGCCGAGGAAGCCCGCTCGCCTCTCATCATCCAATTCTTCCCTTGGGCAGTCACCTACGCCGACGGTCTGCTGGTCCGCACCGCCAAAGAAGCCGTGTCCCGAGTATCCGTTCCAATTTCAATTCACCTCGACCACGCGCAAGACGAGAAGATTATCCAGTATGCAGCCGACAACTTGCCGTTCGACAGCATCATGGTCGACATGTCTCATTACGAAAAGGCGGAGAACCTAGAAAAGACGGCGAAATGGGTTAAATACTGCCACGAACGCAAGATTGCAACCGAGGCCGAGCCCGGGAGGATAGAAGGTGCCGAAGACGGCGTCATGGACACGGCCGGGTTGGAAGCTAGCAAGACCACCGCCGAGGAAGTTGACGAGTTCATCGCTACGGGTGTGGATTCCCTCGCACCGGCGTTTGGCAACGTACACGGCGAGTACGGAAAGTTGGGCCCGCAATTGGACTTTGAACGGTACGTAATGTCCGGTCGGGGCGCAGGATATGACTTCTGGATAAGCCCTCCCCGGAACAAGGATACTGATAACGAGGTTTGCAGATTCGAAAAGATACGCGCCCAGATTGCCGGCAGAGTAAGAGTGGCTCTGCACGGTACCAACGGATTTCCGCCTGATCTGATGAAGCAGTGCATTGCTGCGGGCGCGACAAAGATAAACGTCAACAGGCTTGTTTTGGACGATTATTATACACATCTCCGGTCGCAGGTCACGCGGTTGCCGCATACGACGCTTATCGAGGAGGGTACGAGCAATGTCATCCGGCAGACGAAGGAGTGGATGGAGATTTGTGGATCAGCGGGACAGGCATGAATGGAAGTAGGTTCTGGGTATTATTAGGCGTCGGAAGCTTCCCATCGAAGCTTCAACTCCTCCCCAAGTGGCTTCACAGGCCAGCCTGATCGAGCGTGGCAGGCTTGTAGCAGATTTAGAACGCATTTCCGTTCTCTACTATTCTCGAGGGGTATGCCGGCTTTGTTGGATCAGAGTTGGTTTCTGCAAGGGAAGGGAAGACGTACCGATAAATAGACACTGAGAGCACAAAACACTCGATGGATAGTCTGACAGTGTCATGCCGATACCACAAACTTTCTTGACGCATTCCATCAGACGCTTCCTCTGCTGTGTGTACTGTTCAAGTCCACCTAGAACGGGTACATTCATTAGGAGCAGGATGTGGGAGCAGTAGTAGATTTGAAAAGCTACCGCTGTAAATGGTCAGTACGATCGCGCTTGCAGTTCTGGAGAAGACGGCTTACCAAATGCGGGAGGGTTGATCCAGATTGGCTCGAAGATGTCATCAGGAGAACTCGGGTAGGGGAGTGGTTGGAACTCGGCCGTTAGGTGCCGCCTCCAGTTTTCCAGCATTTCTCTCAGGGCATCAGCCGCCGCGATCCTCGCGTGAGGGTCATTCTTCCCCGCTTCGGTCTCTTCATACGAGCAGAACGCGATCACCTGAGCGAAGAAGTAGACTGACCGTGCAGCCAGCTCGGACGGGCCTAGATCGTCCAATGTCTTTAGTGGCCGCCAGAATGTAAAAGGACGGCGCCTCTCGCGAAAGGCAGCCCAGACATCCTGGCATATCCATGCCCACCAGACAGCTTGCTTCAAGCCCATGGAATCGCCATGTATGACTTGTGAGCGTTGGATCCAGAAGACTCCTTTCAGATGTCTTTCCCAATCTTGCCTTGAGCCGTCGAGCATCTCGTATGCTGATACAGTGATGCTGGTCGCGAGGAGTTCGAGGCTCGTTTTGTATGTGTCGTATTGCATCGCCTCTTGGATATAGTGTAGTGTCTTGTAATAATATCGTAGTGCGTCGTTGGGGTCTCTGGTTTGTGTGTCTTCTGAGTGTTTACTCAAAGAGAGGTGACGTGCAGACAGAGCGAGAACTGCATTGAGCAGCCCTACATTATGCATCTAACAGCGTTTGGTCAAAGCTCGTCAGCATGTTGCCTTTAACTTATACTTAGAACAGGCTACCGATCAAGAATCGTCGACGTACGGCAAGTTGAGGGACAAGTGTTCCAAACGGGCGTCTAGGTTCGAATAAATCCATCTAATGCCAACAAGGATTGTTACTCGAAGGATGTTCCGGGCAGCTACTTTCCAGCTTACCCATCTACTAATGTGTTGCACAAAATTTTGAAAAACAACATGTTCCTGCGCTTGTATTGGTAGAGGCGTAGCCGATCGCCAAGCCTGTTTCTCGAGGCATTGGTATTCATCGAGCGTCGGAGATCTCTCATGCAAGTAGGGATGTGACGCGCATGGCGTAGGACTGAGGCCTTCTCCACTGGTGTTTGGTATACCCCGCCCCACAGCAGGTGATTGCACGACCGAACTTGCAAAGAGATCCACGCCTTCTTCGAAATTGACGTTGGTGAAATCGATTTCTTGCATGGCCGCATCTTGGAGAAGCAGGTCGACCCAAATGGCCGTGGCGTTCTCTAGGTTTGCCCCAAACGAGCTGGACGTGCGTGCTGTGCCTCGTGGTGTGATGCCTGTGCATAACGCGTCGACTTGCTCTGGAGAGTCTTGCTCGAAAGCTGGTCTATCGCCGGTACTGGCGTGATTAGACCTATCTATGCCTTCGTCATTGGACGGTGCTATTGTGGTAGCGCTTGCTATGCTTGATGTGTGTGGTTCTCCAAGCGTTACTGCCGGTAGAGGAGCTGGCTCGTCATCACAGACGACGGGCTGATACTCGGAGTTTGGTGGACTGGGAGACCGAGGCGATTGAGGCTCTCGAGGAGTCGTGGGCTTCGGAGCGTCGCTGTTCGGGGTGACTGATACGACAGGACCAGACCGTTTTCTGTTTGGTGGCCGCCTTGGTGTGTAAAGACAATTGTGTCTGGTTCTCTCACATCCACCGCATACAGGTTTTCTCTCGTCGCACTTGACATGACGGCGGCGACATGTTGCACTGCGAGAAGCAATTATCAGGTTTGAGACAGGTTACGAAGAGTTTTCTTCAGGTCTAGGGCAGGGATACTACTCACCAGCCGGTACTGTTTCTGAGGCCGCGGCCACGACTGAGGCGGCCACGGGTGAAGTATGGCTGTGAATCTTCGTCATCGGCGCTCATCTTGATGATACTTATGCCATTGAATCTGAAGAAGTAATATGTAGATACGGATGGGAAACGGATTTGATGTGTGGCTACTTTCACAGGATTCGGGGCAACAAGATGCAGAGTCGAGTCGTGTGGTGCTATTAGGAAGAGGAAGGTGGAAGCGACACTGGCACTTGGAGTTGCGAAGAGTCGCGACTGGTTGGAGAACTAACTGTACGTACTATGTGCGCACGGGGCAGTCGCCCGTGCGGGGTAACCTGGAGCGCCCCGCTAAAAGGTTGGAGACGGCTCCGGCTCGGCGCACCCGGTGTGGAGCCGCCGGTCTCCGACTGGGTCCCGGTGGGATGGACAGTAGTCTGGTGCTTTGCACTCTTGGGGAAGGGCTGGGATTTGGCGATTTTACGAGTGGGTTTATTTTGATTTTTTTACTTTTATTTTTACTCTATGGTACAACGTGTTTTCGTATAATGTGCCACATTGAGGTTCTGTACCGAAAGTCGGAAACTATATCTAAAAACTACTGCAAATGAACGTACATACCACCATCCACCAACATCTGGGATCCTGTCATGAACCCGCTTAATTCCTCGCAACCCAAGAAAACCGCCGGCCCAGCCAGATCATGAGGCTTGCCCACGCCCATTGGAATACGTTGCTCAAGATACTTGCGCTTCGTCTCATTCTGCATGTCTTCCTCCGCCAGTTGTGTATGGATAGTGCCAGGAAGCAGAGCGTTGCATCTGATGCGATGCTTTGCAAGAGCCACTGCCATTGACTGGATCATTGACAGGACCGCTGCCTTTGTCGGCGTGTAATGTGTCTGCAGACCTCCACCCTGCAGAGCGCTGATTGATGAGATGCCGATGATTGATCCTCCGCGTCCTTGCTTGACCATCTGGTTCGCCGCTGCCTGACACGAGTAGAATGCGCCGTTGACATTAACGTGTAGTGTTTTATCGAAGACTTCTTTTTCGAGTCTATTTGCGAAGTGGTTAGCCTACCACCCAAGATTTTGTCGTAGCGTACCAAAAAAACATACGTGAGAAACTCAGCTGGCTTGAAAATGCCAGCGTTCGCGATGAAGACATCCAGTCCACCCCATTTCTTGACTGCTGCGGCAACGAGCCCCTTTCCAGTATTCGGGTCTGTCACATCGCCTGCAAGCTCAATCAACTCGCCCGTCGGCGAATCTTTGGGGGCATCTTTTCTGATCTTTTCCGCTTCTTCGATAAGGCTGAGTCTGTGTTTTTCGTCGCTGGGAAGGCCAAGGTGGTTGACCGCGACGTTGGCGCCGTGTCTCAAATATTCGAGTGTTATCGCACGGCCAATGCCAGTTGTGCCTCCGGTGATGCAGGCTGTTTTGCCTTTCAGCAGCCGCCAGCTTGATGAAGCCATTTTGACTTGACGCGTGAATGTGACGAATTTCGACCTCAAACTTCAACAGCGTGACCAACAGTTGATGGAAATTATTCTAGCTAAATCATGATTACAAGCCGGGATTCAACCCGCCGCGGTGCAATCTTGTTTACTTTGCTCGCTCTCTTCGCTTAGCCTCATCCTCCGCGCTTTGATTTGCTCCGGATCGGAATGTTCACATCTACACAGCTGTCTTACCCCGCACCCTCGTCTCGAGGGAACTGAGGCTGCATGAAAGTGGACCTGACAGACTCATGTCAGGAACGGTACCACGTTTCCAGGTCGAACCACGCCAGTACGGGGCTAGTAACTTTAGGACTCAGTTGATATACTGTCGGTCGTAAGTAAGGTGGCTAATCGAATAACTTGTTTTGGGTTGATTCGCTTGAGTCGCTTACCTTGCTTGAGTTGCCTTAGCACCTGCAGCAATCGAGAATCAAGATGAGGGTTTCTAAGCTTACGCACCATAGTATGTATGGTCCGACGAACTAAGACTAATATATCCGAACTCTACATGGTATGCGCAGATTATCGTGGCAACAGGTTCATGGCATTAGGTAGGTGTCACGGGGACTGACGGATTGCTACATGTAGCTATTCATTCTTGGAAGACCAAGTGAGATGCCAGCCAAGGTCAAGAAGTAAGGGAGAGGTATGCAGTGGTTGCGATCAGCTCCCCGGAAAGCGTTCTCTATCCATTGTCAAGATAGTGTGAGATGCAGATAGATTTGACATGTTGATGCATATTGGCGCTAAAGTGATGTATCACAAATGCCCTCTTTTCCTCTTATGACCGACCTTCTGAGACTCCTGCAAGCCTATCCCGCACGTTATTTGTCCTCCTGCTGAGCGTCCGGGTGGGCACTATCTAAAGGATCCTGAACCACGGAGTACGACGCCTGAATCATTGAATCTCCGAGCCAGAAGACTTCTCAATATGGGTGCTGGAGTTCTCTCCCTTGCTCTCCAGATCGCCTCCGACAGCTGCTCGAACGGCACCAACACGACTTTCGTGCTCGGCTTTGAGTTCTTTGAACTTCTTCTCCGCATCCCACGTCCACGGTGAGTCTGCAGCGAAGAGGAAATCGATCTCCTCAAGGGTTCTTTGATTCGACTCTGGGTACAGAGCCCACACTGCAAACAGTTAGAAAGACGAAGCCAGACAATTGGGGTATGGGGCCTGTCAACTTACCGATTGGAATACTGATGATGTTGATGGCCGCGAAGATGTACATCGCGTTCTCATTGATGGCTCCAATGATGTACGGAAGAACAAGTGTCAAAGTACTGATTTGGTGCAGAGTTAGCGATAAGTTTTGAGCAACATTACTTCGAGACTTCGGTGCCTTACCCATTGCCGATACTCCATCCAACGACGCCCCAGGCGTTACCCTTGGCCCGGACCTGCAACGGGAAGATCTCCGCCGGGTACAGCCAAGGTACAGTGAGCCAAGTCGCGCCAAACACGAACGTGCTTCGAAAGTGTCAGTATTCACAGAGTATAAAAAATGTGTCGAGATCACTTACTAAAGGAAAACCATTGTAGCGGCTGCAGCTCCCCATGAGTTGGCAACGTCGTCATTTCCAATAGCTCTGGCATTGAGACCGCCGCGGGATAGGCCACCGACAAGGAACATGGCAATGCCCTGAGCGACCGAGCCCCAGTACAGCGTCCAGCGTCTTCCAATCCTGTCAATGGTGAACACACAGATGAGCGTGGCGAACATGTAGAAGATGTTGTTCAGACCAGAGATCCACAGAGCTTTGGATGGACCGAAGCCGGCGATGTGGAAGATGGCTACTCGCGACTCTGATTAGCAAAGGATTTTCTTCCAACAAGAATGATTCGAGATGAGTCTATGACTTACTGGGGCCGTACATGGTGATGCCAGCAATACCGGTCCAGCACTGGATGATTTGCAGCCAAATAACCAGTTGTACTCTTCGGCCCGTGTGAAGTTTTCCACACTTGAGACCAAAGAGCATGTGGTGGTATTTGGTTCCCTCAGCCGACTGCTCAAGTCTTACCACGTCCTTGATGTCCGCAAGTTCCGCCTCGGCGATACCGTCGTGGGTGCCTCGGAGGCGCTGCAAGATATAGAGGGATTCGTCGTCTCGGCCGACCTTGCAAAGCCAGCGAGGCGATTCGGGGAATAGGAAGCACCCGAAGAGCAAGAAGAGCAGCGGAATAATCTGGAAGGCGATGGGGAAGCGCCATCGGAAAGCCGACTCGCCATTGTCGATGAAGCTCACAGCATATCTGTGACGATTAACTTGATTAGTCTCATGTCTCACATATTTTGATCTGCCAGTTGAATCTCACCCAAGCCAATAGGCAACGACAACGCCAAAGATGTTCAAAGTGAACTCCATGGCGATGAAGGCACCTCGGGAAGTATAGTCTGCGAGTTCTGATGCCCAGACAGGCACGATGCCGTTCAAGATGCCGGTACCGATGCCATTCAGAAGACGAGCGCAGATCATCCAGTTCGAGTTCATGGCTGTACACTGCAAAGACGCGCCGAAGATACCCCAAAGAGCACCAATGGCAATAGTCTTGATTCTGCCAAATCGGTCGCCGATGGATCCTCCGACCATACAGCCGATGAGGGTGCCGAGATAGAAGACAGACATAATGCCGCCTTGAAGGAGAGTGTCGGTCACGACTGGAGTGCCATCGGCGTCGACATATCCGAATTTCATAAGATCAATGTAGTGTTTGGCGTTGTTCACACCGCCCATCATGCCTTGATCATAACCTGGACATCAGGTTTGTCAGCATTTCTTTCTCATCAGGCATGCACTTCTGACGTGTGGGCTAGCTGAAGCAGTCAGACGAACCAAAGAAGAAAATTGACATTCCGGCAAGGGCGTTGACGGCGATGAGAAGAGCTCTCTTCTCGAACTTCGCCGTCACCATCCATTTGTGACGTTGGTCCATCGTAGCGGTTGTGAAACAAAATGATGCAAAGTTTGCCGTTGAGTCCTACTTTGAGTCGGATAGCAACATAGTTTATGTTACAAGTCAGAGATCTGAGTGTCTTCTTCTAGTTATACAAGATACTACTACTTCAACCAACTTCGGAACTCGTCCTAGTCGGCTCGGACTAATCTAATCGATCAAAAGTGACGTAGTCTGACCCAAGAACCGAACTACCTTGGACCAACGCGGGGAAACCCCATGGGGACGTCAAATGGGTTGGTACTACGCAGCAGATCATGCCATTCAATCTCTCAAACGTCCTAGCTCGGGACGACCGGTGGGAGGCCTAGCAGTGCCCATGTCTTCCCTCGAGACGAGCACTCGGTTGCTGGGCAGTGCTGCCATGGCTGTCGAGTCTCCGGAAGGAGGGTCATCGAGAGCGTGGAATCGCATGGCCATAGTCTTGACCCGTATTGGTCTTGACATGGCCTGCTGTCAACAGATGGGGAGCTTTGTGTTGAGCCACTCCAAGTCCGAAAGACCATTTGCTCTCACGAGACGATATCTCTTACATGGCTTCGATGATTTGGTAGACATATCCGGTATATAAGACTGCCTTCAAGATGGTGAACCCAAGCGTGATTACAATCTGAACCAGACAGTCCGGCAGTCATTGACCTCCGTCACGAAAGCAGTCTCTCAACATGCCTCTCTATCAACCCGAGAACTTGTACGCTCCAATCCTTACGCAGTTCTCCCTCAAAGGGAAGATTGCGGTAGTGACTGGAGGCTCAAGGGGGATTGGTGCCGAAATCGTTCGCGGGTTGGCAAAGGCTGGCGCAGACGTTGCATTCATCTACAAGACCAACACCGAAGCTGACGAAACAGCTGCTCGAATCGAGAAGGAGACGGGTGTTCGTGTCCAGGCATACAGATCCGATGTCACGTCCCGAGAGACCATTGCGAAAACCATCAACCAAATCGCCAACGAGTTCGGCGGAGGCCGCATTGATGTAGCGGTGGCCAACGCGGGTGTCTGCGCAAATGTCAAGTCGCTCGAGTACACGGAACGGACATGGCAAGATATGAACAGCGTCAATTACGACGGCGTCATGTGGACTGCGCAGGCTGTGGGTAATATCTTCAAGAAGCAAGGGAGAGGAAACCTAGTCATCACCGCCTCCGTGAGCGCTATTTTGGTCAACGTGCCCCAGGAGCAAGCTGCGTATAATGCTTCCAAAGCGGCGGTCGTGCAGCTTGCCAAAAGTCTGTCCGTCGAATGGGCTAATTTTGCGCGCGTCAATTGCGTGTCGCCTGGATACATCCTCACCGAAAGTCAGTTGTGGTTTTTCTTCCCCAAAGTCCTATATTTGGCCCCAAACCCACGTGCAGTGTTGCTTACCGTGTTCCTTGCAGTGTTGACAAAGCAGCCGAAAGAGCTGATGGAGCATTGGCTATCAATGATCCCAGGTGGCCGGGTTTGTCATCCTGCCGAGCTAAGAGGAGTGAGTAACCAACCCCCCCTGGGCCTGCATTGCATGACACATGGACAGCCCTAATTAATGTTGCTCTGGATAGCTCTATGTCTTCCTTGCCAGTGATGCATGCTGTTACATGACAGGATCAAACGTTGTGATCGATGGCGGATACACATTGCCGTAGCCTATGACCAGGCTGGTGGAAGTCCGACAGACTGGATACGATCTGCATCATGACGGAGCCTGCAGATACCCGGGATAGCCGTAGGGAATTCATGAACCCGATCTCGACGCTAAACCAAGAAAGCCATCGACAGCATCCCATGCTTCCTCGCCCAGGTTCAGTTTCCCGCGGAGTAGTTGATTAGACTATGAGAAATTCCCCGAAGAGGATGTATTATTCTCCTCCTCTCTTGCCTGCGAACTCCGTCGGGAGTTTTCTTCAATCGAGACAAGCTCAATTCTAGATGAAGCCCCCCCCCCCCCCTGGCATCCACTGAATGTCGCTTACTGTGTTCAATGTTGGGTCGAATACTCACTCACAAGTCCCCGCAAGTGAATCCTTCAAGTCCTAAGTC